TATATATATTTTGCAATTTAACATTTTATGTATCTTAATTATATCTCAAATTAATTACAAATATTAGCAATGTAAGAAAATATAATCACAACTAAATTAAACAGTATTAGATTTTTTCATAAATTAAGATTTTTTATCTATTTTCTATAATATTTTTATAGAAAAAAGTTTTCTATAAGGCTTTACAGAAAATGGTAGAAATATTTTATAAAATACAGCTTACATATATTGAGTTATTATAAAACTTTGTGTGAGTATACCTTTTCAGGTCACTTGAGTACCTGTCTGGATACCTGCTTGAGTTCAACATACATCAATATAGTGGCCTCATTTTCACTAAACCCTCAAATCTGAAAATCTCACAAGACTATCTCTCTCACGGGAGCTAAATAAAATAACCGTTCTGTTCTTTAGAAAATAAACTACACACAATACACGGAAAGGCTAACAAGCTATTGTCCCGATCTCCGTCCGTTCAATTTTACGTACGAATTATTCTAGATTCTCCTCGTTCAAATTCAATACAGGCAGAAATACGCGCGTTAATAAACGGATGCATAAAGCAAATCGCATAAATTGTAGTTTTATCCCCCGCTATGCCGTTATGTGTACCCATCAAACGGACAGTCCATTACATCTAGACAGCCGGGTATACTAAAACAGCGCAACGTACAAGAGTGCGACGCGATGTGCAGCGTGTTCCGAACACGTTACACGCGAATTGTGCATGTATCTCGGTACGGATTTCGCGTTAGGCCGCATCACATTGTATCTGCCTCACGTGTCCGATGTTTGCATCCACGAGATATCCCTAAGATTAACACGTAAACGTTCCAGTAAACGATGCACGCGCAGAATCAAAATCGCGAAGCCTTTGATACGCTTACGACGTAAAAGTGAATTTTAATCAGAAATAATTAATTAAATTATGCATTATTTATCAGTTATTTATATCGCTTCGATTCGTTGAAATTCTCATTTATTTCTTTCCAGGTAAAACAAAAAATAGAAATAAAATTTTAATTGTCAGACAAAATTATCCAATAATTGATACGCTATAATTATACGTTGGATATTTAAACATCCAACTATAATTAGATGTACATTGAATATGTTAAATATTTTCATAATTTAAAAACTTAATTTGCACCTTGCACACATTTCCTATCTTTCTTGTTCAAATAGTTAAGAAAATATCTGTTCATAGTATATTTTATAATTGATATTATTGAAATAATGCATGCATGAGAATTAAGGGTGGACATATTCTGTAATCTGTGGCATCAATTCATCACTAAACCATTATTGTTATTAAACGATAAAAAGGGATCCTAACATACGGAAGGGCCAAATTCAGACCTCCGATCATAAATAGCACGTCTTTCACCCCATCTTCTCTCGAGGCACGAAACGACGGGAACGCGCTCCGATAAATTATTCATGCCCGCACGACGAGTCGCGCTGCGCTCGAGACTTTTATATAAATTTTTATAGGTCGTGCGGAGAGCGAGATTGCATTTTTATAAACGACTTGCACTTTTCTCGTATCGATTAATCGACATGCAATGCTGAAATTGCATGCGTATAATTTTCTATTATCAATAAATAATATAGAAATAAAGGCTTCTGATACATCTTGCTACAATATTATTTATGCCTGACAATTCTTTTTCATATCACATTCATGCATATTTTATAATATGAATAATACATGAGACAAAAAAGCAAGAGGACATTTTCAGTTGCTTTGAAAATCGTAAAAGTCCTTTATTTTTAAATTTAATTGCCCTCTTTTACTGTGAGGAGTACGTCAATCATATACATATACCATATGTATAAATATTGCCTCAAAATTATAGCTTTCATTCATCATCTACTTCAAAGTTTAATTGATGATCATAGTAGTGTAATATGATACTCATAGATCATCTATTCTCCTACCGTTAAATTAATAATACACCTGATACGACAGAAAACAATCATTTATCTGAGGAATAACTCAACTTTCGTAAGAGCGTGATCTTATCATCCTTATCGTCTTTCCACGTGAGATAACGAGTGAGATCGATATTTCTATTTAAATAAAAATATAACATCATAATATATAATGACACTATTATTATTACTTGGCTGTACTCCTCGATCTTAGAATAACACGCTCGGCGGATAGCGCGAACGTCCTCTCGTATATACCGCGTGCCTCGAATACAACGTATACACGAGTGTACACAACACGCACGCAGCGATTCGGCCATAGCACGGCCATTGTAGCCGGTAACTTTGTCGCTTCCCTTTTTGTGGCGGAAAGTGCGATTTCAATTGAGATTAATGAGACGCGCGCACGTGCACATAATCCGCGACGAATATCGGTTTTGTACTTGCAAATCGCGCGCACCCCCCGGCCGGCTATAATTCCCCGTTTGTTTAGAGTAAAGCGAACGTGAATATAGATGTGCCGTCATCGCGAATCGCAATCTCGGGAGTCAAGGTTAGAGTTTTTCCTCTGTGCATCTCAAATCCAAACAACATGTGTAAAGCCGATAATTATTATCGTTGTCTGTACTTTTTATAGATAATATAATGCAATTCCGCATGTATTATTTCAATAGTATCAACTGTGAAATAGACTATGAGATACAATTATGAAATATACTATAAACAAATACTTTTTTAACTATTTGAAATTGAATAGTGTTATTCATACGCATTATTATGAATATATTTAATTGTACGAATCTATGCCACCGTGGTTGATGATTGATTCATGAATGTTACAATGTAAATCAAATTTACATTATAAATTATGTTTGTGGTTAATATTGCTGTTAACAATGATATTTTTTATTGATATGCGTTGTTAATATTTTTTATCGATTGCAAATTTGTAACATGCATTTGTAGTATAATTTTATGTTCTTACAAATGAGTGTGTGTTAAGATTTTTTTATTAATATCAAATATTTGGCATTATCGCAAACGTGCGCATTAGTAATAATAATGTTAATCAACGTTACTCAGCATGCTTTTTAATAATATTATCAATATTAGTTGACTTTCCGCATTATGATTCTGTGAATCTTATTAACGTTCATAATATTTTCGTACACAATTAAATACATTCATAATAATGTGTATGAATAACATCGGTCAAGAGAGAAAAAAAGTATTATTTCCGTTTCTCATCATTCGGACATGAGACGTTTGTATTCCCTCGTCAACGCCGTTCTTGAGTAAACATTCCGGGCGACGAATAGACCGTTTTTACATACATCGTATCTTTCATTAGCGCTTTAACATCCTTCGACGCGTTGCCGTTCACATCTCGCGCGGCACGAGATTCCGTCGTATACCGGGTGTCCAGTACTCGCAGAGCGATATCGTGAAAGAGAAGGAGGGAGAGAGAAATCTGGGCGGCGTTCTCGCAACTGACATTTAATGATCCAGTTAGTCCGATTCCCTTCGGTCACTTTGTTTATGCCAGTATATTAGAGTCGCCGCTGTATATCTCCTTCTTTCTCTCTCTCGTTCCCTCCTTCGCATCAAACCGGGCCGCCTTCGTAGTACAAATCACGAGCAGCGACAGAGGTCATAATCCCGAGTGCGGATCTCGGCAATACGAGAGTCCAACGAGCAATATATATTTCCTCGCTACACCGTGAGGCGTGGTGATTAGCGCGATTAGTAATAATTTTGATAAGTCATAGTTAGGCGTATACACTCGACGCTATCGAGACCGGCGCGTTGCCAATTCATGTATGTATGTATGTGTGTATGTATGTATGTATGTATGTATGTACGTTACTCACCGGCTTCGAAGAAGTACGTGGATTAGCAGTCCTGTGGTTCCATAGCGCTGATCCTCTGTGCTCGATGCATGATTGAGTCCTGTGTTAAGTCCGGCGAACGGTATTCACACGCACCATGAACGCGACAAGCCGCTGTTGGTGTCACTGCGCCGAAACGTGCCGGATATCCATAGAAACGTCTTCGATGAACGACGATCGATGAATATTCCGCAATGAACGGATGCGCAAATGTCCTGCGAGGATGAACGCGATGTAATTACACTCGAAGAATAGACGCGACGCGCGCGAAACTTCGTTTGTTTACACGATCAAGAAAGATGATCCAAATCTCCGTTAGACGAAGCCTTGGCAGCTAAACGCTGACTGAATGCGAGGCCCGTACGACGCCGCTACCGCACGACTTCACGCGTCTTCCATCTCCCTCACTCTCGCGGAAGCCAGTTTGAAAGTTCGCTCAATCGCCGCTAGGCGCCAGTCAACGTAACAATATTTGAGAACAACCGAAGCGAGATCGAAAATTCATTGACTCTGTTAATTGCCGCAAACATACCTGTAACAAACATTTTAATTAATTTGATTCGCTCATGCGACACACTCAAGTTTTACGCTTTTAAATACATTATACGAACAACAATTTCGAATCTCGATCGTTATAAACACAAAACAATTTTGCCTGCTGAAAAATTTGTTATAAAGACAACATGCGATAGAGTAATAAATTGTAAATAAAAAAGTGTAAAACATGAATATCGTAGCAAAATGTAATTGTTTTCACTTGTTTTTGTCATTATCTTAACCGGCAATGCATTCTCGAACAAATAAATAACGCGATACAAATATTATCCATAATAATTATACTTATACATACTAATTAACACTCCGTGATGATTATTTGTTTCTTACGTATATGTACAATGTTTGAAAAACGTTTTGTTGCGATTACGAAGTCTTTTCAAGAGACACAATGATGTTTAATGCTAAATCACGCGCAACACCAATGTTATCCTAACTCATAAATTCGATGCATCAGCCGATAGCGACTTTGTCGCGCTTTTATACTGTTGTGTTGAAAAAATTAATTCTTTTGTAATTAAACAATTATATCTCGTAAATTACTCACCTGAGATAATTGAGAGCTTATCGGAAATGGTCTTGAGCTTTACAATAAAACTTGTTTTTTGCTGCTACCTTTCTGTGTAAAAATATCGAATTGTATCGATTAACGAATTATAGTGACATATTTTGTATAAATACCAATCGCACATTTTTTATAAGTTAGTGATCTACTGAATCCTGACCTACCTTACTACTACTGGTCAGCTGATCAGCTGATCGTAGTAATGTAGTTACATAACATTACGCATACGCGCGCAACACGTTTGTAATGATTGTGCGCCTTTTAAAACGTAACTCAGTGAAAAATTGATGCAGAGCAAAAATAAAATAAATCTGTGTTTCACGTTCCGCAGATCATGACATAGTGTGTACTTTAATATCGCTTTTTCACTCCAGCTCTTACATAATATTTAAGCCAGCAAATTTCATGAAAGTTACACACTTATCTTAATTTAGAGACGTTTAAGGAAGAGGAAAGATTATGATTGTATTAAAAATTGCTCCTAAAAACTTAACATTTTTCCACTCATATTTCACGGATATCAATTCAGTTTTATTTTACATAAAAGGCACACGCTATAAACGTTTTACTTCAATCTTCAAGATTTAGAACATATATGGCCGAGAAAAGGTTCTAAAAGTCAAATTCTTATAGAATCGAGGAAATCCGTTCAAAATTGAACATAAAGAGGAAATATATTGAAATATATTGAAATATATATATCAATATATATATTGAAATACGCAGAATAATATTTTTTTATTTCTCCACTCATATCCGTCATGTGGAAAATTGTTTCTCTACCGATCTCCGCGTACAAGAGACGTCGCGCACCTCTTCTCTCCTTCATACCATCGGTAAACAGGAGCGAGATAAGGGATAAGGGACCTGTCATCCGTGACGGAGTACGTCCCGTACCCAAGGCTCGCTTCAAGGACGATAACCCTACGCGAACTGCAGTCGCCTTAAACTGGATCCGATCGAGAAAGAGAAAAAGAAGAGGAGGGCCTCCTCTCTTTCCCTCCGACTCTCTCCGTATCTTTCCTCGTCTTTCTCTCCGATCTTGCCCTTATGCGTCTTATTTCGAGAACGGGATGATTACGCGTTTACGATCTAGGTTCCCCGCGCTACCTGCTCCCGCTTCGGTGAAGTCGAAGGTGAATATATATTATCGGAAGAGGTTCCGTGGAGGCACTCCAGCGTAGCCGCTCTTGCGTGAGCTACCTCGGGGGCAGAGACGAGAGAGGAGGGTTCAAGGACGAAGAAGGAGAATCAGAGCCGGAGGAGCGCTTTTACTATATGGAAAGGTTGCGTGGGGGGTCGGTGCACACGCACACACACACACACACACACACGCGCGCGCGCGCACATCGTGGCGAACGGTTGTAAAGAGAACGGGCTGCGAAGGAGCGCTTTCGGGTCGGCATAATCCGAATTCGAAACCTGTTCCTGCCCCATGGGTCAACAACAACATCCTCCTACATCCTGCTCTTCCCCCTGCAATCCCCCGATCCGCCCTCTTCGATCCGGTCCGGACCAGATGTACAAGCCACTTCCATCGAGAGTCCCCCGCGTGTACCCCGGTGTCAAGTGCTCAGTCGGTGGCTACATACTATTTTCCAGGGTTTTATAGCTCTATCCTGCGTACTCGAGTGCCGTTCGAAACGCCGCGAACTGCAACTCGTATCAGAAGTGTTGCGTAAAGATGTGACTGCATCATGTGTTTACACATCTGGGATCTTGTGGACCTTCGGTCTACGATTTTGACAAGATATGATAGATCCGCAAATCGATCGAAAGTAGGGATATTTTCTTTTCCGCGATAGGTCTGTAAATCTGAGCTGTACGAGATGAAAAATATTTTCTTTACAAAAGTCATGTTATTTTTACATAGTAGACACTCTAAAGTGGTAGAAATGTTATTCTGTAGATTTGCATTAATTTTTTAAAAAAAAACACGCACGCGAGGCTCGAGGGCTGCAGTCGTGCGAGAAAAGCGTACCGAGCGCAACGTAGCTAGTCCACTTTCTCTCAAAGCGTAAATTGCAATCACGCCCCGCGGGATGCATCTTGTACATCTCTTGCGTGCCGAGACTTACGCCGCGACGAATCAATTAGGAGCACCCATACGTGTAATTATTTGGTTCTAGAGGAAGCGGTGCGCACAAGTCGGCGTTCGACAGGCTTGTCTATCTCGCGCTTCGCAGGAGGTATCGTAATTTCCGCCGCGAATACATTCTATCTAATGCAAAATACTGAAATGAACCGTTAAATCGCTTTATCGCGAGCCTCTGGCTGTGATCTTATACTGTGATTCATTTTTTTGTATCTCTATAATATCGTTGATTGCTGATTAGTAATCGACCAAGATGCATTTTTATATGCATTCTCTCTTAAGTCTCTCTTTCAACGTTCACAATTCAATGAACAGCGTTTCAAATACGAATAATCGCTTTAAAATATTTTTAACGGAGAATCGCGCTTTGATAGATAAAGGAAAAAAAACAACGAGTAGCTTTGATTTGCTTACAATAAGCTCGTTAGCACGGTAAAATTTTAGACAAAAGCCGGGAATAAAGAGCTGGTTTAAATGTCTTATAAAGTGTCATTCAAATAATGCGGGTCATTGCGCGTATCGTGTTTACAATTCATAAGCAGTAACAATCGTAAAAACCGTATTATAGCTCATTACTGCATCAATTTGTATATTTGTAAATTTGTATTGTATAAAGATTAAATTATATAATAATTAACAACACTACAGAAATTTCTAAAAATAAATAGCAAACAGAAATAAAAGCAAATGGGAAAATAAAAGAATTATTATTTTAATATGAAAATAATTGTGCACAATTTTATGCATATTTTATTTTAAAAATTCATCGATAATTCTAATAATAATCCTAAATCCAAACAGCCAAAATCACGAAAACGATCAATCTCGCGGCTATGAATGTAACAGCTCAAATAAGCGATCAGTCTGAGTCACTTTTATCCCCGAATTATTCTGATAATTTAGCGTGATTGAATGAAGGTAGACCGATGTCACATTAGTCTCAACAGTGCGCTCAAATTTGATTGAAGATAACAGCTAGCGGTACCAGTGATGCAAACTGGTAGGCTTAATCTTGAACGGCCGATTTAGAAATATCGTGCATGTCGTAGACAGCTCCGTAATGAAGATTAATATCTGCTAGAACTCCGGCGTGAAGTGTATCCTCAAATCTATTAGACTTCGCGGGACGCGGATAGTGCCCACCTGAGAAAAGGTCCGTGTCGGACAAGCAACAAAAAAAGGACAAAGAGAAGAGAGAAATAATTACAGGGAAGGCCGCGTCCGCAAGGCCGAGGACGTTGGAAGACGAAGTCGGCCGATATAATAACGTTTTCGGTACTACAGCTAAAGTAGTTCGAACGTAAAATTGAATCAAGACGATTCAGGCGCCAGCTCGCAATTCCCGAACAAAGGTTCGTCTGAAGTCTCTTCGACAAAATTTCGAGAACATATTCAGATACTGCTACAATAATTCGAGATCTAATATCTTTTCAGAAATATTGTTCTCTTTTGAAGATGACTCCGCGAAAATTATATTACCGCAATTTTTATTTTGTCTCTCAATAAAAATGAGTATATTAAATATAGCAAGTATTATGTCTGCGTTTTATATACATTTATATAAAATTTATATATTTGTTTTGATTATGATGTTTTTCTTATAAAAACCTGATGATAAAATGTTATAAATAAAATATACATAACGTGTTGAGATATTTTTTTCCTCAACGAAGACAGGCAGCACAAAATGAGAATGCATACGTGTTAGCAAGATGCAGCCCGCAGTTGTGCGGATCGCACATAACGAGGCTGCGAAAAATATCAATAATGATGAATGGATAAGCGATTAGAGTTCCCGTCATTGAAAGTAATTTTCTTAGAACTTTATTTTACGCGTCGAATGAGAGTAAAGACAAATTTCGTACTGTTGCAGATTGATTGGAGCGCGTTGCAATCTTGCGAGTCATCATCTTACGGCATCATGCGTGTATATACAGTAAAGGAGCATGTAAGAGAATGTGCAAAAAGTATATTAAGAGGATACATTAAGCGCATCACTCTTCAAGAGTAATGATTTAAACTTTTATCGAAGTCTTTTATGGATTTAATAAATCGATGGCGGAACTTCCTCGATGCTGTTAATGCGCGTTGCATAAACAGATTATTAGCAGTCACGATTTATCGTTAAAATATTGGTTTTTTTCACTTTTGTTGGCTATTTTTACAGATATGAATAATGAATCTCTAACAATATTATCGTATCGTACTTATCAAATTACTTATCGTAACTCTCTGTAATAGCATTATCAGCTACTTAATTGCGTATAAGTAAATATGCAATATAACATTATAACAAATGCATAAAATCAAATATAAAATCTATTAATAATTAATAATATTAATTGCTTAATGAACTCTATGGAAAACTCGAAGTAAATTATTCGATGCATCTATAAATAATAAAATATTTCCAACAAATGTATGTTCGTATAAATAAAATTCAGTTAAATTTAATTTAATTAATCTCAAAAAAAGTTTCGTAATTCAGTATGTGTTGAAAATTACATTCTGACCACAAAAATTCAACCATTTTTATGTATTGTAATCAAATATTATAAATAATTACATTATCATTAATAATGTTGAAATGTAAAAAGAAGATGCGACTTTATCATGTGTGACGTATGATAAAAAAATTAAAAAAATGCATACACGAGCGAAAAAGCTGACGTCTATCCGAAACAAATCGCCCGTACTTTTTCTTGCGACCGCCTCTGTCCGATCCTCTTACGTTCATTCTTAATCGGCTTCACGACGCGCATCTCGTTACCTTGTGCGACCCATAACGTTTAGGACGATTAGGGCGCAGCGACCATGTAAGACGATAAAAAAGGAACATCGTGTAGCAATCTCGCACGATTCAAGCTGGGGATTGGAACCGGTATAATTTCGATGACTGCAGATTCCGCGACGATACAGACACGCAGAAATGATCTGTGTTTATTCGCGTCAATCGGAAACATGGACAACTGGAATAAAGTCGAGTTTCCAGACGATGCGATCATACTTCTTTGCTCAACGTATAGCGTATGTTTGTTAAATAAATTTATTGTTGGGAAATATTGTATGTATTAAAAATTGAACTCACCAATTTCATATAGGTTGCAATCCTCAATTTCCGCTTGCGAAACAGTGACTTATCGAACGGTCACGTAATGCTTCTCATTAGAACACGCGCGGGATACGTGCTCGAGCGCGATTCGTCGATCGTCGGCGCAGAAATTTTTTTTTCTACTGCGAGAAATATAACGAGAGCTCGTATATCAAGCGGCTGCGGCTTTAGCTCGACGATCGTTCCTCGGAATTACAGTGATTCGAAAAAGCGACGTGATAAATCTCACCGACGCATTCGATCTTCCGCACTGCGATCGCTGGGGGCCGCAAAATTCGGCAGAAATTTGATATACGAGATTTATTCGGCTCGACACTTCGCGTTACTCACTTAGCTTACGTGATTGATGCACCGGATTGCAGCTCTCTGTGGAAAAAAAAACAAAAAAAACATTAAAATCGACATGTTCTAATAAAAAAACAATATCGCAATTTAAAAACAGTAACACGCTCTTCATTATGACATTAAAAAATTTTTATAAAACACAAGAGCATAATAAAATATTGAAATATGTTATATTAACGAGTTAATATTAGTAAAAAATTTAAATTAAAAATAATAATTGTTCTTAAATTAAAATTTAAATATTATTCCTGCTTATTGATATTGCTAGTAGCGAAAGTATAAAAAAAATCTAGTGAGAGTGTTTTTCCAAGTTTTTACTTTGATATTCTTCAGCATTGATATTCTTAAGAGAACATACCTTAAAAACCTTGAAAACAAAAAAAAGAACGATTCTATTAGTATCGATAACGTCCTGTCTATGACGGTCGCGCGTCTATTGGCACTCGCGCCAATTCTCCTTCACCTGACTTCGCTCATGGAAACATATACGTGTTGATGCGTGGCCGCGTAGAGAAATCTAGCCACGGCTAGTCGCGGCGCATGAACACGTATATGTATAACTATAGCGATCGCGATAACATCGTAACCGATGTATATAAGTTCAGAGAAACGGTGGGGCACGGACAGAACGTTAACTGCGCTGCAATATGCCTTGCCAATTGCCGTTGCGCGCGGAGTAAGGCATATTCCGTATCCAATTGTGGACGCTGTGATCTCACCGGGATTATTACGCAATCAGTAACGAAATTGAGGTACACGCGAAAAAAAATTTTTTGTCTCATATCTCGCAAACTAGCCACTGGCGAAGAATCTAGAGAGAAGAACGTGGACGAAAATGGCGAGAAAAATCAGCCACGTCGTACTGATTAGTGCATTGTTGGTCAGGTCAGTTCAGCAGCATATTTTATTATTTTCGAAAGTAATATTAATCAGATCGCATTCAGCAAATATCAATTATTCAATTATTAGATCGCAATTGAATTGATGTCTATTCCATTGTCAATGTCCATCCCACAAATTCGACGTAAAAGTTAAGGAAAACTTATGTGCTGAATTCGCTATTAATATTTCCCGGTGAACTCTGTCACTCGCATATCACACAAATAATAATATTTTTATAATCGTTGTATTACGTCATGCAGACGCTTTTATTCACAGTGGTTGCATATGAATCATCACGTCGCATAGGTGTCACGGGAGCTATTGTTTGTTGCTGATGCATAAAACGCGTACGCGCCAACGAATAAAATGTATGATGTATTGTTTCTATTTGCTAATTCTTCTCATACAATTTTATATTGCAGCACATGTCTGACAGCTAGCGGACAACCGGACTGGACAAGCGATTTAACTAGCAATATTCATCGTATGACCGAAAATATTAATCGACAGGTGCAACAGTTCACTGAGCAGCTTCAAACGCGAATACAACATAACTTAGAGAGTTCATTGCGACCCGCACTCGAAGAAGTCAATAGAACAATTCAGAATCTGCCGAGAGGTAATCACACATATTCGCAAAATATTTTACAAATTCCGATGCTGATTGGTATTCGTCCAATATAAGGATCGTGCTCGGAATATCCGTGCGAAATGAAAAGAGAACAACCACATTTAATATCTTAATGCGTAATCCAATTTTCATTACAAATAGAAAATAGATAAGATAATTTAAAATATTAATCAAATTCTTGCATTGTTTGTACAATCAAATCTGATAAAAATGGGAAATAATAAAATTTACCGCGAATCGATATTTTTGTGCACGCTGAGATGCGGAACAAATATATCGTTTTTATTTTATTTCTCTCATTATTTGTAAGTTTTTTTTCAAATAATATATATTATTTTTCAAAATGTCACTTTAATATTTGTTCAAGCCGATATTCCCGATTTGATCGTACTTATTGCACGTACGAGCTCGTACAACGGAGAGTTGCATGTCAAGAAAATCTCAAAACATTGATATTTTAATATGTAAATATGCAATTTCTTTCCTGTCGCATGCGGAAAAGAGGTCGACATGTTTGCGCAATGGCTTGTGCACGAATTGTGCCTAGCGATATTCTTTATCGTTATGAGAGATATGAGAAGCGTTCGGAATAAAATGCAGATTCCAAAATCGCATCTCATTCGCCGTGCAGTCGACGTTCCTTTCACTATCGACCAAGATACCGAGCAGACATTCGCATTCCCTCCTAAGTCTCAAGGCAGCCGGAGTCCTTTTTCCGCTCGGTCGGCCCGTTAATTCGATACTGATTCAATTCCGCACTGACCGTTTACCTATGCAATTAGCGCTATATCCTTAAGCGTATCGAATCGTGTTATCAGCGATTAGTATCAATAAAAATTAATTTCCCGTAGTACTCGCTTCGAGCACTGACAGTTGATGACATTGTAATTTAAAAGCAATTAGTTAGGAATTGTGCCAACCGGTTCAGATTAAAATCAACTCCGATATTATATAAAAATTATTGATTTACTAAATCTACCTGAAATAATCTTATCGAATATTACGTTTCACTAAATTTTGATAAATATAACAGGTGTTGAAGTGCAAAATGGAAAATCTAAAAAAATAACAATTGCATTTTGCATAACAGTGACGTTCAATTTAAAGAAGACATTTTTTATAACGCGGGATTTTGAACTTTTCGTAAATGTAGACAAGTTTTGAATTATGTAGCACGCGTAAATAATTTAGGCTTGGTCACGCGAATGTCACGCGATATTTATACAGTTGTGATCAATACAGCGGGAAAACTTGACATATTATGGAAATTTGTTCACAGATGCAAACGGACAAATAATAACAAATAGTGGTAGTACCATTATCGTTAATTCTGGAAATGGTGTATCAAGATCCATCTTATCCGGGCGCACGCCGGGAGGAGAATCGTACGTCCGTGATATCGAAGAACGACAAGAAGGAAATTTCCTTTATCACAATGAAATTATTTATAAACCCCAAACCAACTCCAGTGAGACGATTCGCTGGAAATTGGACCTCGCGACTCCGGGAGCCAAACCTGAAATCATTACGGAATAAAAATTAAAACAATATTAATTTTTAATAGTATACTCAACATATGCAATATATACTGCATAAACTTTACATAAAGAAGGGAACGCAAGTCAATCGTAAAATGCAACCGTAAAATCATGAGTTACACGACAAAAGTCACAATTATCGAATTGCGTAAATCGGCAAAGCGAGCGTGGTGAATTTTTAATTATGGTCTTGTGAAAGCGTCACATAATAAATATTCTTTCAATTGAAGTATGTGCAGACATTATCGGTTCTGTGATATTAAAATCGATACGCGTACGTTGCACACTGTGATTTCATGTACGTCGATATTATGTACGTTCAGTTGAATAAGCTTGTTAATAAACAATTTGTCAATAGATAATTCTCTCCAACTTATTTTTTAATAATATGAATAAAGTGCTTATTAATGAAGATGAGCTCACTAATATTTTTATCTGCTTTTCAATGAAACTGATCACCATTTATCATATCGCTACAAATATTTTGTGTTAAAAGAAACACGCCTAATCATGACAAATCACACGAATGACAAGTGATTTGACTGGCTATTTTTTTTTGTCATTGCATACAGAATGATAATTCAAGGCATGTGTTTAGAGGAAATTTTTTATGCTTTTTGTGTACCGATACAACACTGAAAATATTAAAAGAACGAATTAGTGTATCATTTAATATACAAGACCCTATCATTTAACCATTATAAATTTAACCATTTCAATTGAGCGAGGCGCGTGAGGAAAAGGTTGAATAAGAAATCGGCATAAATTTGCACGAGAAAGAGATCTGACCAATGAAGTATCATTTGTTACGATATACGACCACGAAATTTTAAGGAGAGTAAGGATGGGGTAACCGTTCGTGATTTCGAGGCACATGCAGAATGTATATACATATAGGATACAAACTCGATGCGTGTATTGTCACACAATGGCGTCGAAGCACTTTCTATTCGACAATAAAAATACTTTAATTTTATAGCTATAATCATATTTCTGCATATAAACGCCTGTATTAATAATAATAAAAATATACATCAAATCTCCATTTTTGATGTTTCTATAATCGGTGGACGAGAGTGCTTTATTCCAGTGAGACTATACCATTTCCATATTTATAGAATTTTTTAACTTTCTTGCTAAGGGCAAAAACATTGCATTACTCATCTTTGTGTTCTGTCATAAAATAATAGCCATCACGGCACGATTTTCACATTTTTGTTTTCATGCAAATGAGCTTGTTTTAGCTTTAATTCTTAAATAACGAGAATAAATAGCTCACAGTCAAAAGTACGGAATTACAGAATATAAAATTATAAATAACAATATGCATAGACATATGAGCACTGAAAATTCATGCCTTATGAATAATGTATTATTCAAATAAAAATGAAAGAGCCAGCGTTTTATGCGCGTTGAACGTAAGCTCTTGAGGTGACATGCACTTTCTTCCAACTTTCTCCTCTTTTCGTTGTTCGTTTCTACGCCGTTGCCAGCAGATTTACATGCGCATACAAAGGGATACGTAATACGAGACTCCTCGGAACGAAGGGATACTCCCACACGAATTTTGGTGCGTGTGAGATCGGTTGGTCGCTTTTTTTCTTCTTAATGATGTGGGATCATTGTCTACGCGTGACCACAAGACACGTGGGTGTAAAGTGGAAGAGACCATCGAACATCAGATTGGCCCTTAAAATTTGATTATTCTATAGCGCGTAAAAAAAACCGAGTGAAGTTGCGAGTGTGTGCGATAATAATACGTATGTAATTAATTGTCCCACACTTTCTCGCCAGTAAATGATTTGAAGAAGTAAATAACAATAAAAAATAGAATAAAAATTCAGAACAATTTTTAAACAACGGCACTATAATAATTTATGTAGACTGTTGTAATTTATGTATGTATTTAAAGGAGGTAATATTTATGAAAATTTTATATGTCGCAATTTTGTCTTCATTTTTACATGGTTCTTCAGAAAAATTCAATGAATATTCAATGAGGCATTCTATAATCTAGACAAAATTAATCTGTTTTTTTTTTTAAATAAAGACAAGAAAATTGTGTAACACTTACGTTATTATGTTAGAAGTTTAATTTTTAAAAAGATATCAAATATTATTTAATACGTAATTTCTGCAAATATAAATAATAAATCATATCACATCAGCGTTTTACAGGATCGAGAAGTAGAACGACCGATGGTGCGTTCAGGTAGTTTCTGATCGAACGATGTATCCTTGGGCGACGCAGAAAATAGTTATCCTTTCGCCCGAACATCGGCGATGTGCTTTCTTGCCGTGAGCAAGACGTCTTTTGCAAAGTGAAACCTCCATCTTTAATCGACCGGAATGCTTTGGAATAGTAGACGAACAAATAAAATAACGATCGTAAGACGGAAAAATTGTTGTTCAAATAAAATCAGTAAAAGTCGCGAAATATATCAGTGATATGTAAGTGATTCCATACTTCTATATTATATGTTCTATTAAAGTTCAAGTCTCGCGGTGAAGTCATTAAAATGCATGACTCTCGTGGGGCAAAAAGTTTGGATGAGATGAGATCTCTATGATAAGTGTCTTGTTAAATTATTAATTTGTCAGCGGTAGTGACATCGGCTTCTTGAAATACATCGTAAAAATACAGATAATAATCGACAGAAGGTCGGGAAACAGGTCCTTTCGTACGTTTATGGAAACTACGTCGGCTGGGAGAAGAAGATCACGCGAGACGGCAGATTCTGATTTACGAACAGAAAGAAACCCAAGGGAAGTATTTTTCCTGCAGAAAAAGAGGGCTTCTTGAAAAAAACGGCGTTTGAAATATAGCTTTTTTATCGGCTTTTTAAAAGCTTGCAGAAAATGTCGTTTTCTGTCCTCAATGCATAAGAACATAATAATTTTTTGCAAACGAAAACCATCAACAAAAAACATTTCAAATACCAAAAATAAAATAAAGTAAAATAAATAATTTAATTTTGTTACCTTTATATATCTTGACTTTTTCTTTTGACATCTATCGCTGTGCAGACAATTTCAAATATTTTGTAACATTTTGCAATATAAATTCTGTAATAAAATAATATGTATTATTTTAAATAAAATCTTAACTGTGTTTTGAGACAAAAATCTCAAAAGAAAATAGAAGCAACCTGAGATCTAATTACTAATGGAACGATCTTTTACTTACGCTAATTCTAATATTACTATCATTGATATTATTACGATGCGATGTGTGCGATAATGATCCGGTTCGACATCTTCATTCCTGCGTTTCACATAGAAGTGCTTCGATAACGGCGCTAATTACTACAAGGTATGGTAAGGAAATTTATGTATCCTTCCCTCATCCTCGCGCATACAAGCATGCGCGTGTATGTCATCGCGAACATAAGATAATTTGAAGATAATAATCGTGCATAATCTTTTATTTAGTCCTTTTTTGCATCTTCAGATGAGAATTTTTTCGAATTTTTACCAAGACTCCGGCTTCTGCTGCTATATTAATTTCTACTTTATACACCGATTCCTACGAAGCGCAACAGTAAGTATGGGCGCGCATCTCGTAAGTTATCGGAAATTAAGCAGCACGTTACGAAGCTTCGTTACTTTACAAGGGTGTAGTCTCGGCGCTCTTTTTCCTCTGCTTTTCTCATTGCGTTTTTTGGATCGCGTGAGATTGCGTATGGCCGAAAAGAAATTGGGCTCAAGGCAAGACGAAAATTGAAAAGAAATTCATAATTTCAGTATCCGATTACTGATTCTTGTAGATACGATATAACGTATTTTATTTGATCTTATTTCTCGTACATTTAAATAAATACGAATAAACACGCATATAGTTTTTGTTGCAATTGCCATCTTGGTGCATTAAGGTGTTAAAATCTGAATTTATCAAAATGTATACCGCTTTTCTCCAATAAAGCCATATTAAATTTCAAAAAGTATTTAAGAATTAATTAAGTAAAGCTTCATCAAAAATAAATCATAAGTAAATTTAAATATACTTGAAAAACAAAGAAATATTCAAAAAGTTTACTTGTTAACTACAAAACAATTCTTTAAATAGCAAAATACCGTGAATTTTTTTTAAAATTCCACAATGATTGATATTTTGAATGTTTTAATAAATAAAGTGTAGTTGCGTACATGTTTTGGCAAAATTTTTAGCGCACAATACGCGACGGGTAACACGATGGAAAACCAATTTAAAATTATTTTCGAGTAATATCTCAGTACGGATTCACTTTAAAATTCGGAATTAATCCAAAGTATGGGCGACTGGAGTATTCACGAAAATTACAAACATGCAATTATCGATTATTGTAAATTTCGTGCTTACTGGTTGTGACGCGTGCGTGATAATTACAATCGATATTTCTCCCGGTACTTATTAACACCGTTGTTATTATTGGACGTGCATACACACTCGACCGTATTTTTTGCGATTTTATTCACGTGCTCATCTGGATTTTATAGTGTCGTAATTTAAACGGAAAACACATGCGCGTAGCAACAAAAATACATGGTAATGACCCAATGTGCGATTCCGGAGCGCTCTTTTCACGAGTCTCAGCTTGGAATTTCACTCGCGGCGCGCGCGGCTTCCAAGTTAATTTCTACTTTATATACCAATTATGCCATTTCGAAGCGCACGACAACGCGATGCGACTGTTCGCTTCGTAACTCGCCGCAAATTATGGTCGGCATTACCGCTTCGACGTTTCGATAGTTTATGGCAGCGAGTTCTCTGCTCCTCCTTGGTCAACTTTGATCACACTTTCCCATTTCGCCGGCGGCTGTTCGTGCACACTTCGTTTATTCTTCCGAAACGTGACGGTCGAATGGGCGCTATTAAGCATTAATAAGCATAATAGGTGTTTGCTTTTGTCCATTTACGATAATAATATCAGTTATTTACTTCAAAATATAAGAAAAAAACTACAAAAAATAAAATAAATAAATATTTTAATGAATTTTTTATATTTACTTCATTATCCTTATTGCAATTTATAACTTTTTCCCAACTTTATAATTCATGTTTGTTTGAGAAATATAAAAGTAAAATAGATTTTTTTAAGATTTCTTGCTGCAAAGAAATTATATTTAATGTATACATGCAAAATATTTTGATAAATATATTTTGATATATTTACCTTGAGTTGAAAAAATTAAACTTTTTAAAGCATGTATGCAAAAATTTAAAAAACAGCATACCTGAGCGTATCAGAAAACAAATGTCGCAGAAAAAAATTGTTACACGCTGGAAATATTCTACAAAAATGGACGGGCTTGAAGCGCTGAGGAAAAATTGTTTTTTATTCTCGCGATAAGGCGAGAATTCGAGGGCGTTACCACTGCATATACGTTCTTATCTGCAATGGCACAATGGAGTTATAAACTCTCAAGACAGTA